AAAGACGAAGAAGAAAGAAGAAGAAGGAGAAGAAGAAGGAAGAAGAAGAAGGAAGAAGAAGAAGGAGAAGGAAGAAGAAAAAGGAACGGACGAAGAAGGATAAGGTTTGAGTGGTTTAGGTTTATTTAATGGTCCCATTCCAAAAAGGATTAGGCTTCGGACCCAAAATACCTGATTAAATGGTCATAACTTGAGTTCCATAACTCCGATTCGCGAACCGTCTGAACCGACGCGATCACAAAAATATTTCCTACGAGATGACATAAAAGTTGGGCTTAAAATCCAAATTATAATTTTTACCCCTTATTGGGCCCAATTCGTAATCAATTGCTCTAACAATTTAATTAATTCTTTTGGGCCAGGTTTCGGGGCGTTACACCGCTTCAGTCCAACTTTTAAAGCCATGGTTGTTCCTTTTAATATGGGAGGGAGGGGATACGTGGAAACATGGGAGATCAATGGAGTGATCTTCAAGAAGATTATGTTGATTGGCATCCTTACATTTAAACTTTCAAACCATGTCTTTTTTTAGTCAAAACCCTATCTAATCTATTTCTTGATCTTTACTTCACTTGTATTCTCCCCCTACTAAATCAAACATATAGGATGTGTTTGGTTGGGGGGGAAGGGAAGGGAGGGGAGGGATGGAAAGGAATGGGGAGGGAAGGGAAGGGTTCCATTTACTTTGTTTGGTTGAGGAAAGGGAAGGGAAGGTTTCATGATACTTTGTTTGGTTGGAGAGAAGAGGGGAGGGAATAAAATGAATTTAACACATCTTATCCATAATTTTAACAAACAAAATTTGGCTATAATTGTAATATAAAATGTAAATGAAAACGTATTCCTAAATATGAATATGAGAAAAAATAAAATCACATTCATTGCAAAAATTGGATTGTCCGGAGATTGGACTACAGTCCTGAGCTTTTCATCATCACTCATAAGGAAGCAATATATGTCTCGTATTTTGTTAGCATCACACCCACATTCATCATCACCCATTAGGCATCACACCCTAATATGTTTAGTACAAGAAATATAAAAATAAACATGGAGCTCATTTTGAAACATATGATGAGATAAAAGCAAATGAGATGTGTAAAAACATTTCTTAATACAATTCAACTTTAAGCATCAAGCTCATTCTCAATAGCGGCCTCATTGTTCTGGTAATCGATCCACATTTGAGTTGCTATGTGCTCTCTAATAGCTTCACCTTCTGATGCCTCGCTACTTTGACCACTTGAAGCATGAATTGTTTCATTCGAAGCATCTTGGTTAAGAAGCTCCATATCAACTTCTCTCAATATTTCATCATTAGGGTCAACACTCATAAGAAAGTTATGAAGAATGATGCAGGCATATATTATCATTTTTTGTACTTTTATCCCATATGTAGGCTCTGTTCCATTGGATAAGATAACAAATCTTTTCTTCAATACACCAAAAGCTCGTTCAATGGCGTTACGCAACTTTGAATGTCGAAGGTTAAATAACTGTTTATAATTTAATGGCGGATTTCTCCTGGAATACTCTTTCAAATGATAGTGGACTCCTCGATAAGGTGTTATTAGTCCTCTTGTTAACATGAACCCAGCATCCACGAGATAATATTTACCTATCATGCATGATGACAATTACTACAATGACTTTTAAATCTCTAACTAACATAAAAACCGCACTAAATTTAAATATAAAAAATACCTTCGGGGATTTTAAGCTTATCTTCCCTCCTTAATGCATTTTTAATAATCCTTGAGTCTGATGCAGTGCCTTCCCAACCCGGGAGAATGTATGTGAACTTTAAATCAAATGTACATCCCGCTAACACATTTTGGGTGGGGAATTCTTTCCTACCGCGATATCGCGGAGCATCAATTGAAGATACCTTGACACGTATATGTGTTCCATCTATAGCACCGACACAATCTTTAAAATATGGAAAAAATTTCTCATTTTGAATTTCAAGAGGAACGGTACTGCCATCTGGTTGCTTAACAAATTTTTCTCCCAACGCAATGATACCCACCAACACTGTATGAAAATGGCGACTAATTGTCTCACCCGAACGTCTAAACCAAAAATTTACTTCACGATTTTTAGCATTATGCGTTAATATGTAAAGAGATTTTGCAACTTGTTCTAGACCAAATTGTTGGTTTTAAACCACCCTCTCTTTCTAACATTCTACACAAATTTAAGAATGCTCTAGGAGTCATTCTAATGATATTTTGACTAGATGGACAATTGCTAATTCTATTCATTATTTCTCCACGTACCCTCTCTCTTTTGCCACTCAAAGTGTATCTTACTTTTTTTTGATAAATTTCATTGGCTAGTACATGTGCCAAAACACAAATAAGCAAAACTATTGCTCTTTGACGCAATTCAAGCCACCGACGCACAAGAAGAAAGTATTGATTTTCCATGTCCATCTAACAAAGTGAAAAATTTAAACCAATCAATTACTTAAAATAAAATACTTTCACATATATGCAAACAAACAAAGATAAACAAATAAATGTGCACATTCATTATCAAGTTACTATAAGCAAATCACAAGAGCTATGAATCTAAATCCGGAAATAACCCAATCTCAAATATTATTCCAACTATATGCTAATTTAAGACATAAAAAAACTAATTCGTACCAAAAAATTCCTATCATGAAAATAAAAAGGAGAACAGTGAAATTGGAATATACATTTAAAAATGAAAGAATTTTGTAACAGAAAAAAAATCAACTACAAAAGAAAATTGGAAGCTTTGAAAGTTGCAAAAAAAAAATATTGAAGAATAAATCCGGAACTGGACAAGTGTGGAAGAACAAGTTTTGGGAAAAATAAAAAATTGAAAGGGTATTGCTGAAAAATGGGAAGAACAAGTTTTGCACTCTTTTCACGCTATGTTTGCACATTTTCACTCTTGTTTGCACTCTTTTCATAAGATTGTTTACAATATTTTTTTGTTGATTGGAGTTTTATTATTGATAAAGTACAAACTTAAGTTATAGTATTGATATATTAATTTGAAATGTATTATATTGCTTATGTAAAGATAATGTTTACTTTTTCACACTTTTCATGTTAAAAATATTTAAATATCATTAGAATTAACATCTTATTTGGAATTGGAATATATTAAAAAAAATTATATTAAATAATAAAATCAAAATATTTTAAAAACTTTTAGTATTAAAGTTAAATTAATTTTAAGTATAAGAAAAAAACTTTAAAACTATATTAGAAAACTATATAAAAAACAAATATTTAAAAAAAATGTAACCGGTCCACCAGTCTAGACCAAAACCCGGTGGACCGGACCGGACCCCGAATAAGGAAAATGTGAGGGCCGAAGACCGGACCGAATAAGGACCGGTCCGGTCCGATTTGGCCTGGTTTCGGGTCGGTCCGGGTTCGGACCAAATAATGCACACCCCTAGTTGATAACGTTTAACAATTGAAATTATAGTGTTTTATTTTTCAAACACTTTCTTAAACTCTTAGGAGTCAAACAATCTATAGTGGAGATTAGGAGAACATCGACCACAAATTCAAATACTCCCCCTTTCCTAAATATTTGTCACACTTGTTTTTCCGAGCTAAAATATCAAGTTTTTTCAATTTATTTTATTTACATATTGGTATAGAAATAAAAAATAAAATTTACATATCAAAAAATTACATGAAAAGTTCTTCGAAATAAAAGGTGTCAATAATATTTTATTTTATCAAATAACTAATAAAAACGTAGAAATAAACAAAAGTTTTCGCGACTGCTGAAAAAGAAAATATTGCAAAATATTTAGGGACGGAGGAGGTATAATTTTTAAAAATTAACTCAATTAAAAAATCCGAAACATAAAAGCTCCACAAAAAAGTGATACCACTAATATAGCACTAACATAGAGTATGATGAACTTACATCAATGTAGTCAATATTCATCAAAGAATCTCGAGCTTTCTTCAAGGGCAAAAAAAAAAACTACACTGATATCCTTTTGAGAGCAAAAAAATAAGGAAAAAAGAGAGAAAGAAAAAAGAAAGGATAATAAATCAAGATTGGTGAAAAAGACATTCTCACATTCCTTCCTTGCTTCACCAAGGAAAAGCAAAAGCAGGGAGACAGGGAAAAGAAAGGAGGAGAAAAGGGTAATTTGATGAGAGTGTCACTTTTGAAAAAGCGCAGGAGACCGGATTTCTCTTGTCTTTTTGTTTGGCAGTCACAGATTAGCAATAGTAGTGCTGTTACATCATTCATTCAATTCAGGTGTGGTGTTCCAGACCCAGACAGTCCAAAGCATGTTGTCGCAGCAACACTCTCCCTCCGCCTCCTTCCGCCGCTCCCCGCGGCGGCCTGGCGCCACCACCACTCCCAACCCATCATTCTCCAGCCGGTATGTTTTCAAGATTTTATCAGTCTGAGTCCCAAGTAACCCAACTCTACCAATCCCTCAATTAATATGGGTATTAATTTGCAAGATTTGTTTTTTTTTTTGAAATCTTGTATTAGAATATGGTGGTGGGATTTGAATTTGTGGTCAGAGCTCATGAATATGTATGAACTTGTAATAGTGTTAATTACAATTTTGACCAGTTACTTGACACTTCAAAACATAAATTTCATTTCACCAAATCTAACACAGTTGGGTTTAAGTTGTTGATGATGATGATTCATGGCTAGTTTTCATTTTTTCCCCAACATTAAAAAATGATTTCATCTTACTAAATTTAACACAGTTGGGTTTGTTGAGTCTCTTTCCCTTGTCCCAAAAGTAGCCAGCAGAGGGAGGGATTGTATCTTGGAAAGTGAATGAAACAGTTCAAGTGACAAACTGTTTATTGTTTTGCAAAAACTTGTTTTGAAGCTTTTTCAAAAACTTGATTTAAGAGTACCCGTTTGGCATCAGATTCAACGTTAAGCTTTAGCATATTCAAAAGGCTATCAAATGGCAGCGTTTAGCTTTAGCGTTGTCAAAGTTTGTCTGAACCATTAAAATATTTATCCACAACGCTAACACTAATTAAAATTTTTGTTCCCAAACAAAGCCATATAGCTTGTTTTTCAAGCGTCTTGGACAACTATCCAAAGTTTTCTGTTAAAAAAGGCCATTAGTTTTCACATTTCCTCATAATCATCATTTAGCAATGAAGACTAATTTTATATTCTTATATATCTGCAGCATATTCTCAGATGTAGCTGGAGATATTACAATTCTTGTTAATGGGAAGTCTTTCCTTCTTCATAAGGTATTATTCCCATTTACATGACCCTGCAATACATTCAAGCTTCCCACAACGTTTCTTATTAAGCGGCGATCCTTATGTTTTTTGCCGTGTTTGTTTTGTTTAAATATGGTTAGTTTCCTTTGGTGTCTCAAAGTGGGAAGATCAGGAAGATGGTGGCAGAAGCCAATAATAAGAATCCTTCAGAATTAGAACTGAATCACATCCCTGGTGGGCCCGAGGCATTTCAGCTCGCCGCCATGTTCTGCTACGGGATGAACTTTGAAATCACAGCATCAAACGTGGCCCACCTACGCTGCGCTGCGGAATACTTGGAAATGGCTGATGAGTACCGCGAAGAGAGCCTGGTTTCGCGTGCCGAAGCCTATCTGGATGAAGTTGTGGGGCACAGTCTTGAGAAGTCGGTCGAAGTTCTGTCTGCTTGTGAGGCATTATTGCCTATTGCAGATGAGCTGAGGATTCCGGAAAGATGCATTGACTCCATAGCCAAGATTGTCTGCCAAGAACAGCTGGTGATGGGGTTGTCACGTTTAGATTGTGACGACGGTGGTGGTGGTGGTGGTGGATCTTTGGAATGGTGGGTTGAAGATCTCTCCATTCTTGGAATTGGCTTTTACCATAGACTCATTTTGGCTATGGGGAAAGCCGGGGTGCGCACATACACCATAGTTGCTTCATTGATGCATTATGCACAAGTTTTCCTAAAAGGCATAGGGAAACCACAAATATGGAATCCCGCCCGAGCCCATCCTCGGGTAGTTGAACACAAGCAGAAACTCATTGTTGAAAAACTCGTCACTCTATTGCCCTCCGATAAGGGACCCACGTCTTACGTTCCCCTAAATTTTCTGTTCGCGATGTTGAGGATGGGGATCGTGGTGGATGCCTCGCTAGCGTGCAGGCTTGAGCTTGAGAGAAGGATTGCATGCAGGTTGGAAATGGTCTTACTTGATGACTTGTTAATTCCTTCCACTCAGACCGGCGATTCCTTGTTCGACGTTGATATGGTCCACCGGATCTTGGTGCATTTTCTCCAACGCGTCGAGGACGAAGACAATGTGGATTTCGGGTATGAATCAGAAGCACTTGGTTCTCCAAGCCATGGCTCTATATTGAAAGTCGGGAGACTTGTTGACATGTATCTAGCTGAAATCGCTCCCGACCCGTATTTGAGTCTTGATAAGTTCATCGCTATGATAGCCGTTCTCCCGGACTACGCTCGCGTCCTAGACGATGGGCTCTATCGAGCTATTGACATCTATTTGAAGGTAACTTAGTTTGTATATTAAATTGACTCAAGCTCAATGAAATACTTTATGTTTTGTGACACTCCCTTTCAAGTGTGTTACAATACATTGTATAAGTCTGTTGTTCATGTATATACATTCATAAAATAGCCCGACCCAACCCGACCCAAAGGTATTCTACATGGGTCAAACTGAGTTGTTCTACAACTAACTATATACATATGAACAGAAGACCTATACAATGTATTAAATGAGAGAAATACAAAAACATGTTCTATATACCAAAAAAGGTCAGTATATAATGCCAAAAGACATTGTAAAATGCCAGCAAATAATGCCAAATTATAGCATTTTAAAGTGTCAATCAACGCTCTGAGCTCGGGTCTCTTGGAAGGAAACGATCTCTCTACTTTCGAGTAGAGTTAAAGTCAGCGTACACACACCCTTCTGGCCCTACTCTTGTGGGATTCAATTGGGTTCGTCTTCTTGTTGTTTGTAAAGTGCCAACACTCCAACTTAAGGGATAAAGAGATAGGAGGTCTTATTTTGTTATAAATTCAACGTTTTAGTCATACCTAGGTCGACTTCTTTTCTAACAAAGTGGACGACGCCGTTAATGATTTTGGAAATGTTGTTGTTGTGCAGGCGCATCCAATGCTATCCGAGCAAGACTGCAAAAGGCTGTGCGGTTTCATCGAGTGCCAAAAGCTATCTCAAGAGGCGCGCAACCACGCCTCGCAGAACGACAGGCTCCCGGTCCAGGTGGTGGTGAAAGTGCTATACTTTGAGCAGGTCCGTCTGAAGAACACAATGTCGGGAGACTCAGGGGACGAGAGATACCTCTCCCAGAAAATGAGCAGTGGGGTGACGAGCGCAGCCGTGTCCCCACGAGACACGTACGCTTCGCTGAGGAGGGAGAACAAGGAGTTGAAGATGGAGATATCGCGGATGCGGGTGAGGCTAAGTGACCTAGAGAAGGAACAGGTGTACATGAAACAAGGGATGGTGGTCAAGTCTGGAGGACATGGCAGGACTCTCTTGACCTCCATATCCAAAGGCATTGGAAAGATTGGCATCTTTGGTGGCCCGGCGGGTGGGAAACACGGCACGTCCGGGCGGACCGCGGATGGGAAAACGGGTAGGAGCAAGAGATTCTCTGAGGCATAGAGTCATATAGTTGGAATACAGAAGATCTGAATTTGTTTTTAATTGCTGTGGTATCTATGACTTGAATGATCTAAATCAGTTGCAGATATAACAGCAGTTAAAATGCAGGAATGGGAATGCAGTGAAAAATATTTTACATTCATTTGTGCATATCTAAGTCTTGTGTTATCCAAAAAAATGTTTAATTTTTTTTACACATAGTGAATCATATAGTCTGAATCAATGCAATGAATAAATGATAAATAAAGTATTATTCTATACATGAATAAAAGTGGTAAGAGATAAAAGGTAGATAGTTAATTTTGCTGGACAAATTTGCCCACGAACAAACACAAATTTTTTAATGTGAGATTTTTTCTCAAATAAGGGAAGAAACTACTCCTTACGTCCCAATTTTGATTACAATTTTTCTTCCTCTCATCTCTCGATTACTTTTGTTTATTTATGTATTTCCATTGATTATTTGATAAAATAAAATATTCTTGTCACTTCTTATTTTGTAGAACTTTTGACGTAGTTTTTTAATTAATAATTTTTTATTGATGTAACAATTTGTAAATAAAACGATTTCAAAAGATACAGGGTTCTTTTGAACAAAACTTTCACTATAATATCAATTGGAGTACAACATCATCACAATAATATAACAATGGATATTATTCACTTTGTTAAAAAAATCAACACTTGGTAAACTCTCACCTCTTTGAGGCTATGTTTCTCCTCACTTTCGTAGTTCTCTCTTCTCTTCTTCACTTTGGGGCACTCCTTCACCAAAGATGACAAGGGTAAAAAATCAAGAAATTGGTAAAAGTCTTTCAAGAAATGAAGGGGTTATTGAACTCAAGAGGGTAAGAATAAACTTAGTTGGCAATATAAGGGGTGTTAAGGAGTAAGGACTCAAGGAGATAATACTAGAGATAGTGTGCTAGAAAGTAACTATGCTAACATACAGGCTTTCAAAGAACCAGGTGTAGAGTCCATTCTATGCTAACCCATCTGTGTTTAAAGTAACCGTGCGACCGATTTTAAGGAGACCCTTGGTGATGGGGCTCAACCGGCTCATCCTTTTTCTAATAAAATGATCAGAATAAGTTTATGTTCAAATGAGAGAACCAATGCAATTCCTTGTAATCTAAATAGAAGTTCACACTCACTCTCATGCTGTCACACCACCGAGAGCATCACCAACTGTTGCCATTGACACTGTTTTATTATCATCACATTCTCATCATTCATATCGTCAAACTCATATTTAAACGGTAAAAACAATATTATTCATTATTCTCTATTTTAGTATTTGGATGATATTCTCTTCCAAAAAAGAATTACTCTTCAATGTAAATAAGTCAAGAAAACATTTTTTTATTTGTACATTTTGATTAATTATCTGATAAATAAAATATTCTCATCCTCTCTTGTTTTGTAAAAAAATTACTATTAATTTTTTTTGCTTTAAGAGCTAAATTATTGATATCCTTTTCAAAACGGCACAAACACAAGACCTTGGCCCTGTTTGGAAAACGGCTTTTCAGATAGCTTTTGACATGTTTGACTGACTTTGGCTTTTTTAACTGAGCGAACAACAAAAATCGTTGTTTGGCTAATGGCTTTTCACTTGGCATTTTGATTCGAAAAGCCAAAATCCGAAATGCCAAGGGGAGTAGCATTTGGACTTGACTTTTAGGAAAATTAATTTTTTTCAAAGTCATTTTTCTTGAAAGATGTTTTATAATATATGTAAAAACTAAAAATAAAAATAAAAGTTAAAAAATTAAATACTAAAAAAAATTAAATTTAAAAATTAAAAATTTCAAAAAAATGAAATGAGAAAATAAAAAGTAAAATTTAATGCTCCATATAGTAAAGATTTAATTTTACATGTAAAAAAATGAAAAATAAATATCGTGTGTGTGTGTGTATATATATATATATAACTATTTTCAAACAGTTAATTTTACTAAACATTTTTAACAATCAACCAATTTATCCAATTTATCCTGCCGGTCAAACCAGCTGAAGTAAACAGTCATTCACAACAGTGAAGTTTCCACTACCCTCAACTCCCTCCAGGCCTCCGCTGACGTAACTAACAGCTTTTGGATGAACCTGATCCATATCCAATTGCACCTCCGCTAAAGATCGTCGAAATCAATCAGATTTACGCGAAACCCTGAAGGAGACATGCAAGCCGGAGGCCTGCTGCTTTCCTCCATGACGCCTTCTTCATCTTCTTCGTCCCCGTCTTCATCTCCCTCGTACGATAACCTCTTACTAATTCTCAATCCAATTGTTTTCCTCTCGAATTCGACGTATTGATTATTGTATTGTTCTGCTGCTGCAGATATTCTGTTTTGTCTTTTTCTCTTCCCAGCTTTCAAATTCGAAAAGACTTTTCATTTCCTTGCAAACATAACTCCGGGATTGGTAGAGGTTCGTTGCTTTCACTCCATTGATTTACTCAAATGTAGACCTTAGTAACCGGGCTAGCAGAAATTGGTGATGTAACAAAAGACATTTGAGTCTGGAGAGTTCATCTTAAACTCGAACGATCGGTAGTATTTAACATTAGATTGATTTTTTCAGTGAGAAGTCTACTTTAGGTTTACATTAATCAGATGATATAAATGATGAATATGAAATACACTTCAGTATCAACTTAACACAAGTTCCTTCCATCTCTACAGTTAGCAGGAATAATGCCAAGGTCTCTCGGTTGAGGGCTAGCTTTTGGGAAGCAATTAGATCTGGGTACCTGACAGCTCTAACTAATTTACTATAATAATTTCAATCATCAAGAACAAATTCCATCTTACCTATGTCCTTGCAAGTTGTAATTTATTGACCAAATTCTGAGTGTGCACTCTAATGCTATTGACCCACCAAGTTTTAATCCCAAAACATGGGATGGGACTGCTTTAGGGTGTGTTTGGCTTAAGGAGGAAGGATGGTGGAGGGGATATCTCCTCTGATTTGGGAATAATGTAAAAAGTGGGAGGGGAGGGGAGGGAGACAGAGAAGAGAACCCCCTCCACCAAAATTCGTCTCCAAAGTAGGGAAGGCTGAGAGGTGCTTAAGTGGTTGGAGCAACACATTTTCTCACGCCTCACTAAGGTTGACCTCCTCCCCCCAAATCCCCCGGAGTTTATCCCAAAAAAAAATCGTAATCGGGGAGGGTGGTATCTTCCCTCCACTCCCTTTGAACCAAACATACCCTTATTACAGATTAGTTTTAAGATATACCTTTGTGTATTTTACTCTATCAAAAATGATTTGGAGGGAAGATTTCATCTAGCCAACACAAAATTTCTACCAACAGACGTTTGACCAAAATCTGCCCTTGCCTACATCAGGTATGAAACTTTTGCAATGAATAACATTTACAATGTTTTATATTGCAGGTTTTCGAAGAATAATAACAATTTGCAGATTGTTGAGCCTCCATCTTCGATCCAAGAAGAGGAAGATCATATTCCTGAAGAGTTTGTTCTAGTTGAAAAGCCACTACCAGATGGAGCAGTTGAACAATTTTTATTTTCCTCTTGTGGGGATATTGATGTATATGATCTTCAAGCTTTATGTGATAAGGTGATTGAAATTAAACTATCTGTTCCTAAAAAATTCTTACTCTTGAACCAAATGGCTTGTTTAGCTAACAGAATTTGCTGGGAATAGGGTATGATTCTACAAACTTGACAATTTCTTTATTATGTTTGTTTTCACTTCCTTGGAATGACGTATTCCATTGACTCCCTTGTGTGAACTATTCTCATTGACGGTGTAATTGGAACCGTACGTTGTTTGTCTTTATAGTTTATATAAAATAGACCTCTCCCCCATCAGTCTTAGCCAAGGTTACAAAGTGCTATGAGGTCTCAATAATGTATAATGGACTATATGTTATTTGTTAGACTATAGCATTGTAGTCATATACTCATATACGATATTTTTGTATTGCATTTGCTAAACCAACCAAAGAATGAGATGTTGTTTGTATGTATTATATTGATATCAAACAATCGAATGAAAATACCATGAAGTATAAATTATAGAATTTTTTTAAACATAGTCCTCTATATTTGTCATGCACACCAAATGTGTTGTATGAGTGAAGCATCACGGCCGGGTGTTCAAACTTCAAACTCATTGAAGCTAAAAAAGCATGGTCACAACTTTGCATTTCCGAGAAATGTTTTCTAGATAAGATATTCTGTGACATCATTTGGCTCGTGGAGTTGATGTATCTTTATTTCCTGGTTTTTTCAACAGGTTGGCTGGCCTAGAAGGCCACCATCTAAACTCGCCACTGCTTTAAAAAATAGCTACATTGTAGCAACGTTACATTCTAGAAGAGTATCAACAGACGGAGGTATTTAGCTACGTTTGTGAAATCATGCAGACAGTGTGTTTTTTACATTTGCATGTCTTTACTATTGCAAGCATTTTTTAATAAATTCAATTGGTTAACCAAAAAGAGTTATGACACATGTAACCCTTAACAAGAGTTAAAACTAACACAATGCCTGGATAAAAAATAGGTGAAAAGCTAGTGTGTAATTCGAAAGGATGTCATAAGTTGAGAACTTGATAGGTGAAGATTATGTCATAACTCTTACAGTATGACATGAAGAACTTATGTTTTCATGCACTTTAAGTCTGTTTAGTATTTGAAAAGAAAGTGACAAACGGCATGATGTACTTGCTAGTTACTTGGCAGAGGTGAATGGCCAAAAGAAGCTGATAGCTATGGCTCGCGCGACATCAGATCATGTCTTTAATGCTACCATTTGGGATGTTCTTGTAGATCCTTCCTATCAGGTTGCCTTTCTCATAAATCTTAAAAGTGTTTTCTAGATTTGAAATGATTAAAAGTTGATATATCTTTCCTGATTCAGTGGTATTCATGGCTCTTTGACACAGGGCCAAGGTCTTGGAAAAGCCCTTATAGAAAAGCTTATAAGGACACTTTTGCAAAGGGATATTGGAAACATTTCATTGTTTGCTGATAGTCAAGGTAAGTATGTGGCTAATTGATCCGAGCATTTTTGTTTTTGTGAATGAGCAAGTAGCTCCATTGCCAATGGAGCTAAAAGAGTTATCAATCTTATCATTGACACTGTTTTATTTTCCGGCACATAATGGACTAAATCAAAATGGAACATTAAACTTCCCTTGCTTCTTACTTCCTCCGTCTCGATTTTAGTCAGGGTCAAACTTTAACCACATTCTTTATCCATTTTCACTACACATTTGATAAAATAATATAGTATTGTCACCTCTTGTTTTGTAGATATTTTGGTGTAGTTTTTAAACATGTAAGTTTTATTTTTAATTCCATACCAATTTTCAACTAAATTGAGTTGAAAATAATTTCACTCAAACATCGTAAACAACATGCGATTTAAATTGGGCAGTAGATGTAGTAATGCTAGTGTGTAACGGAAACAGTCTCTCTGTTATTACAGGGGTGATACTGCATAGATTTTGACCCCCAAAGCCCCAACTGAGTTGGGAATATACTGTGTTGTTGTTGTGGATGAGTTGCACTAAGCTTCCTTTGAAAAAAAAACCATTAAACTAACCTAGAAGGTTTCCTTATGATTGCAGTTGTTGAATTTTATCAGAATCTAGGATTTGAGCCCGACCCCGAGGGCATCAAAGGTATGTTCTGGTACCCGAGGTCTTAGCCATGTATGGTTGTTGGAGCAAATCATGTTGCAGCGACCTACCTAGGCGACAATGATGTGGCAAACATTTCATTGTCTGTGTGACATGGGGATTTCTGATACTATTATTCAAGGAGTATGGGTGAGAAGGAGTTTGATTTTTGAGATTTTTTTTTCCCTTGTAAATTTTATGTTCATCAATAGATATAAACAGATTTGTGTGTTTACCAGATTAATACTTTTAGGAGAATGTCAGAAACGCCTTCTTGACATCTACCCCTCCTCCGTCGTGCAATTAAATTCATACTTTTCTTTTTTCGTGTGCTCTAAAATAAATTATTCACTTCTCTCGTTTGTTTTTAAAGTCACAATATTTCTCTCATCTACATTGTTTTTAACCGCAAGTTTTTTTGTTTGTTTGTGAAGTCATGGAGTGAAGTGAATTGCGGGACGGGAGGATTATATACCCCATTCTTTGGTGTGACATAAACGCCTCATTAAAAACTGAATTGTACTATTCTACTCACTTCTTAGTCAACTGTTTACATATTTTGACCATTAATAAATATAATTGTATACCAAAAAAAATGTTGTAAAAATTTGTATATCAAAACCACATCTTAATATAAATTTTTATAGTCAAAGTGTTGGCTTTTGTGGAATTGCAAATGTTGTGGTGTACATTTAATGGTGTCGCGGCGGTGGATATCATAATACCAAGAGGCATGCTAGGGGTATACCAAAATGGGGTACCCCATTTGTACATCAGGCAAACACAGATGCTTAGTATCTTTGGTCCACAAGCACTAAGTATCTGTGTTTATCTCATTTGTACACCAGACAAATACGGATACTTTGTATCTTTGGTCCACAAGCACTAAGTATCTGTGTTTGTCTGGTGTACAAATGAGATACCCCATTTTGATGTACTCCTAAGTTTATTTTAATACCAAATGTAGTATTTCCACGTCCTATAGAGCTCAGAGTCATGCACATTTCTAACAAAGAAAGAGATTGAAGACTTCGCGTTTTGGACCATCAAAAGACAAAGAAAGTGAGATTACCAACAACATTCTTAGGGGGTGTTTGTTTTTAGGTGAGAAGAGCTTCTAACCACTTATGTCTACGTCGTGCAGATGCGGACAGACATTAGGGACGCGCAGGCTGTTTGTTTTTTAGAAGACAAACCACTTAAAAACGTCCTCCAAACATCTTTCTCAAGCAGACATAAACCAACGGCTTTTCACGTCTTCTCATCAATTACGATCCATCTCAAAACCTACCCATCCGCCTCCTTTCCCGATCTCTCCGTCCAGTCTTGTGCACGACCCTCTACCGCCGTAGTCTCCACCACCCGGTCTGCAGACTGCAGACCTTTTTCTGCAAAAAAAACAAACAGCACCTTAGAGATTGAATCCCTTTTTGGTCCCAAATTTCTTTGTGAATATATCGTTAAAAAATTACTCCTAATTGATACGGAGTAACATTTATTCCATTACTGCTGTTTGGAGGCTTTATTGGCCCTTTAATTATTGTGAAATTAGCATTAAATAGAACTAAAACATAAGTTATTTCTTAATGTAGGATTTAAATTTTTTTATTTCTTAAATAGTACTACCTCCGTCCCAATTTATAACGCCTGTTTCGGTTTACGATGTTTGACTGAAATTATTTTCAAACCATTTTATATGACAAATGGTATAGAATTAAAAAATAAAAATTACATATTAAAAAACTACATCAAAAGATCTACAAAACTAGTAGTGACAATAATATTTTATTTTATCAAATTGCTAACAAAAATAGAGAAAGAAAGTGAATGAAGTTTGACCCTGTGAATAGTAAACAGACATTATAATTTCGGACGGAGGGAGTACTTAATAATATTTAGTGAAAGGAATAATGTTCACTGATAATGAATATTTACTTGAATAATGAGTAATGAAGAATGACTAATAGTCTTACATTAGAAAATAAAAATATATGGTCCTATATTAAAAAAGTCATTATGTTTTAGTCCTATTTAGATAAATCCCCTCAATTATTTCATTTTATGTTTGAAAAGGAGAATTAAATTCAAATACAACATTGGTTTCAAATTTCAATATACTCCGTATTTTTGGAACCGGACTCCACAACTCTTACTCTTGGTTTGATTTTATTTAGGGTCCCTTCCGTACACGAAATGACGGAAGTAAAGGAATTTGAATGGAATTGGAAGTTAAAATTCTATGGAACTGATTTGGATGGAATTGAATTCTCCAATTCCAATTCATTTTTGGCACAAACAATTTCAAATCTACACATTTTTGTGCAACCAAACAGCAGAATTGAAATTGTTATCCCCAATTCCAATTCCATGGTTTGAATTCCGTATACCAAACGGAGCCTTTTTGTTTTTATGATTTAATGAAAGACTAATTTTGGGAGAAGAATTATATTTTTTATTTAATCCAATATTTTTGTCAAGTGTTTAAAAATAAAATTAAAAAAACAAACCGGAGTCATAATCGTACATAGAACCGGCTCGGAACCGAACCATACAGAACCTATAGCCTCACCATTTTTAGGAGCTAAAACTACAAGTGGTCAATGGCGGCGATGACCACCGAGGACTAGCGGCAGAAGCCAAAGACGGTGGTCGTTGATTGGCTGATGGCGAAATAGAGTCTTCAATGGGCTGGGATCACCCTATTGTTTTGTATAATTTTCTGTTTCGAAAATCTTAGAAATTCAACTAGGATACTTCCCCATGAAAATGTGAAGAAGCCGAGTGATTCAAGCAAAAGCATCCGTTGTTCGCTTTACAAGGGGGGAAAAATGACAAGTGGCAAATTGAACTTTAATCACAAACTGATCGATAAAAATCGGAAGTTATAATGAATTCTTATATTGTTCACTCACATAGTCACATTCATTCCATAGCTAAAACTCCCATCTAGACAAACATGGAACTAAACTCAAGAACAATCATCCAATATAGGGTTACAACTACAATTCAAAAGAGCTCAATAAAGAGGAATGGAATGTAGTGGTAGCACATTGTTGTTCCTCTATCAAAAGGCTGCAGCTATGTGTTGGTGTACACTAAAGCCATACATTCCTTTTTTATTTTATGTGACTTGGTAAAGGGATGATGATGATGATGATGATAAGGGAATCAAAACAAACAAAACAAGCTTACAGATCAAATCACTCCGATGAAGATGAAGAGGAAGCCGAAGAATTGGTGTGCAAATCGTGGGAAGTGGCCACCAATTTCTCCCTCGCTGTGCTCAAATCATCGCCTTCTTCCTTCCCTTCATCCACGCTCTGCGAACCAGTCATCCTTGCCAACACGACGAACGACATTCCTCCGAGCACATTGTTCAAGCATCTCAGCACTATGACCGAGCTCTTGAACACTAACGGAGGGACACCTTTGGCCAGCACGAACTCGATCCCATTCAGTGTCTGGTATCTCAGGTTGCTGCTCACCCCCATGTGGATTGCCCAGGTTGCCGCGTTTAGGATGGTGGGAGGGGGCTTGTTCGGCGTTTCAAAGCTCGGGTCCATCTTCTTCCTCATCATGATCAGTCCGTTGGAAATGGCGGTCCCCACCAGCCCGGCTGCGAACCCGACCGTGGCAAACAGTGCGCCTTTGTAGACCAAGGTGCCGAGCCGGCTGGCCAGGCCGTAGGACCCGGGCTGGAACATGTGGCTCGGCGGGCAACGGGAGAAGATGGAAGGCAAGGACTGGGAGGCAGAGGATGATGCGGTTGGAGCCAAGAGATACATGAGGACGAAGTTCATGATCGAGCCGACGACCATGGTGGAGAAGACGAAATCGAGCTCATTCAGGCCAAAGTTAGGGCGAGAGGCCATGTCTCCGATGACGCAGGCGGTGACGCCCACCAATTCCTCCATAAGAACCTTGAAAGGGAACTGCGGGTCGGCAGCAACCCTAGATCTCCACCCACTGAGAAAGGCTCCGATCGGTCCCAAATTGTCACCGGAAGAAGATCCCGAGTCATCGGAATCACCGCCCGCGCTCCAATCTCTGCCGCCGCCGCCACGGCCGCCGCTTCCAATCCCGGTGTTACCGGCGCCGCCTGTTCCGCCGGCACAGACGGAAGGCAATTTCAGGAGCGAATCCGATTGAAGTTGCTTGGCCGTAATGGAAACACTGTGCCCACTTGAAAACAAGGATCCATGGCCACCGGAAAGAAGACGCCGGCAAGGAGAGGTCAAATGACGACTCTGGATCTGATTCAGGCCGGCAATAGCGGAGAATTGAAGCTGGGACATCGCCGCCATCTTCACAGCTCCGGAGATCCGGTAAAAGGGGCCGCGATATTTGCTTAGGAGGCGCGGGATCGAACCAGAAGAACAAGTGCACAAATAGGTTTGATAATCAGCGACGGTGAGAGTGTGACAAACATAACATATTCGACCATTATAAAAATTAAAAAGAGAAATTATTGTGGAGATTCACCTAAAATGATGCATTTTAGACTAGTAAAATATTGACAAGTCAATGATTTTTTTTTGCAAGCACATGCTTATGATTTACTATGTTCTCATGATTATGAAAAAATTACTCTATAGTAGTTAATCCATGTTTTTTCTTTATTCTTAATGGCTAAATTATAGTAGTTCCTAATTTTATGGAAAATAAATTTGTCTTTATCATAATTGTTCTTTTCTCGAAACTGGCAAGTGTTGCATTCATTGCGCGAGATTCTTGCTCGGGCACTTTTTCTCCATTCAACAACTCCTCAAGCACAATTTCTCTCGATCAATGTCTATCCCTTCATCTCACCTTTGAATTATGCTGCATGTAGATGGCAGATGGCGGCAAAGTACTGAATTATACTGTGTTAAAATATATGAATATTATTATCTCCCAAAGGAAGAATGACACTCTCTTTTATTAGACTTTGTATATTCAACTCTCTGTAATTGGTCATGACGAGTCGATTGAAATTGATTTGTTTTGAAGTTTGTCATGCCTTTATTGCTATTACGATGATATTGGCTCGCAGTTTTATACCCCTCCGTCCCACTATATTTGTCAACTTTCATTTTTACACACCATCCAATGCACTTCTTTAATCCATTTTATCTTGTAATTTGTATATTAAAAAATTATATATTAATAATCTATATGTTAAGACAAATCAAACAAGATCACACATGACTATATTTAGTCTTACACATTGAGAGAATTTGATGAGTCAAAGTGCTTAGATGAACAGTTCCAAAAGTCAAAAGTGGACAAATATAGCGGGACGGAGGGAAAGATCTTCCGAGAGTTTCACTTTTGCTCATTTGTAGTGAGGGTTGACTTTGGCATTAAAATGTCCAAAATATCCTCTTATCTTTCTTGTTATGCCCCCAACAGTATCCTACCAACACCCCAGCCCACCGCTGTCCCAGCACTGCCCCACTTTGTTTTGGCATCTCTGCCCCAGCCCACCACTGTCCCAGCTCACCGCTGCCCCAGCCACCACTGCCGCTCCACCATCCTCTGCTGC